TCTTTTTAAAACTGCGTACAAATAGGAAGTCTTTCTATATAGGCTTAGGAGTGTTATATGCTTAAAAAATAGTTTTATATCTATTCTGTAACAAGTTTGGAATATGCAATTCCGACTATACATTTTTTATTGCCATGAAAAATATAAAATTATTTGTTTCCGAGATTCTATTGTTTTAGGAATGTAAGACATGCAAGTAAATAAGGGCTTGTCATTGGGCAATAAGTAACATTTCATAAAGAGTAATTTTTAACACTGATTCTTATCTCGTGAAGTTAAGGCTTTAATTCTATGTATTAATGAATTTATTACATAAGCGTTCTCTTGATGAACCGCTAATATTTCATATATTTCTTTTTATCTATCTGTCATAAAATCTTTTAGACAATTAACACCTACATCGCGGTGAGATATGAACATCAAACGAATGTACAATAAACATTCTTCCAATGCTCCACCCTTTAAAACAAAATACAATAGTTTTATGACCACGCGGCCACAGCATACGCCTCTTTTTGTTATTTATCACAATTATATCTTAGATTTATTGATATTCGGCGCATCGATCTTTCAAAACATGTGTGAAAATCTCAGAACTGTTCATAAATGGCTTTACTTGGGCAATAAGTATACTTATTGCCTACAAATGGTTAACACTTTCTGTAAACTATTTAAATTTGAAAACATCGTAAAAATATAAATAAGAAACACCCTGTATATGTATATGTAAAAAAATTTAAACGTCAAAACTTAAATGATATAGATGTGTCATTCCTAAAATGTGTATAAAAGGTAAACCTCAGGGTAAACATTCAATTTTCTTAGTTTCTTCAAGAAACTTTGTTGATCCATTACTGGTAATATTCACAAGAAAGAACTGAACCTTCACCTCGGTAAAGTTTTTTGTTTTAAGTGAGTTCCACCAACTTCAAATACCGACAGACAGCTGTTTCGACCTATATTGGGTCTCATCAGTGTCGGGCAACTTGGTGTAGTGGAACACACCCAAAACAAAGTACTACACGAGCTTATATACTAAGCTAGTAAGCCAACAGAGGCGAGATGTAAAAACATCACGTGTGTTTTCTGTTGCACACTGAACTAGTTTTCCTAATTTTTTTTCACCACGTAATGATGGCCTACACTAACACTCTGCTAAAGGTTAATTAAAACGAAGCAAATAAAACTGTTTTTATATACTTTTCGGTTAAACCGGAACTTTGGTTTTGATATTACAAATAAAAAAATAAGCGTTTTTCAAATTTTTTGTAATATCTCTGTAAATATTTATTTTAGGTATAGGAAATGCTGCAACGTAAATACGCGAATATGCGACTTGAAAAAAAAACGGTCCGTTTTTGTTGTATTTTTTCAGGTTTTTTTTTTATTTTTTTTTCAAATGGTTTTTTTTCATATTTTAGATTTTTTTTCTAGATTAGTCCCATTTGCCTAATTTTTTATGTTTTCAGTCCAGTTCTTGGACTAAAATTAGCCACTAAATGACAATTAGTAAATGTAACAGTCTCGCGCTATGCACGCGCCACCACCACCGAATTGACTAATAAGGGCCGCGCTTGTTTTGATTTGGTCCTAAGAAAAGTAACTACATATAATATTTTTGATTCAGCGCTTGGATTTTCAAAAAGCTACCAAAAGCACTTTTTTCATGATTTTTCAAATTCATGTAGAGTATGGAATTTTTTTTTCAAAAAACCAATAGCAAATTCTTGTAGAATATATATTCATTGGACCAATGGTGGTTAAGTCAGAAAATTCCGTGTACCAAAAAAGAAAGCCAAAAAAAATAGAATTTTTTTATTACGGTATTCGTTAGCATTGAGCGTTGCACGTTTTTCATCTAAAAATCTCAAAACTAGAAACTTCAATCTTCAAATTGCTTTTTTTACGGCTCCAATACGACCATATTTAACAAAGATACAGCTATACGAAAAATCGCAAAAAAATGTTTGTACCTTTAATTTTTTGTATTAGTGTAGAAGTTTTTCATTGCTATTGGTTTCTAATGTGGAAACTACCAAATAATAAGAAATCAGATTTTTTTACTCTCGGTCAAAATTTTCAATAATGAAAGATGTAATATAATATATTATTCTACATTTCACTTTATTATTAATATACATTTTACTCAAAATTTCATTCTCTACCTGTTTAACATTTTCAAATACTATTAATGGCTTTCGATATAGTGCTCCTTAGTTAACAGGTACACCAAAAATTATCTTTTTAACATTACAATTAGTGGTAATACAGACATATTAGCAAGTCCATCTATCTGTCAAAATTTAAAACAAAAATTAAATATCTCAAAAACTGTTAAAAATAAAAAAAATTAAATTTTAGTATTTATAGAATTTTACGTAGAATTTAAAAATGCAATAATATTTATATGGTTCTATTTGAAAAACCGAAGTTGATGTCACTTCCGGTTTAACCGGAAGTTATAACGCAAGGAAATAATTTTAAAAAAGAGTTTACATTGCCTTATAATTGCTATACAAATTTCAAATCGATATCTTTTTCCCGTTCTCCGTAAACTTCTTATGAATAAGTTAGATGATCATCATGTATATTAGGGTGTCCCAAAAAAAAAAGAATATATTTTTTTTTCTTGTCTCTTGTAAAAATATGTTAGTTTATCATGCTGTAAGAGCCCTTTCAAAATATCAGCTCGATTAAAAATTTTGTGGGGGTCGCTCAAGATTTTTAAAAATTTTCAAAATCGTCAAAAAATGAATTTTTGTTTTATTTTAATTCTTTTTCTCGTCTCGATATTATTTTTTAGGTTGAAAATAATAAAAATTCTGTAAATTTCAAATCAATATTTTGATTTCTAAAGGTCGCTAAAAGTTCGTTGATATTTATATTCAGAGGTCGCTCGAAAACATTCAAAATACTCTACTTTGAAAGTTAAAAAAATCTTGAGCGACCTTTAGAAATTAAAATATCGATTTGAAATTTTCAGAATCATTATTATTTTTAAATTAGAAAATAATATCGGTACGAGAAAAAAAATTAAAATAAAAAAAAATCCAATTTTTGACGATTTTGGTAATTTTTAAAAATCTTGAGCGACCCCTAAAAATTTTTTTATGGTGGTGATCTTTTGACAGGGCTCTTAAAACATGACAAACCAACATATTTTCACAAGAGACGAGAAGAAAAAAAATATTCTTTTTTTTTTGGGACACCCTAATGTATATCTTTTCGATAAAATAAATGTAAAAGAGTTATGTTGTTTTATATTCGCTTTTTATAAATACTAAAAATTATTTGACAGACAAAAATCATGTTTTACCAAGACAAAACCATTAAAACATTTTTTTGACGAAAAAGAGTATTGTTGGAATAAATGCATCGAGCTAAACATGATGATGTTAATAAATAATTTGACCTAAATTTTTATACTTATTCTAAGGACATCAGTAAAGAGGTGGTTCAGTTTTTGCATCTAAAACCCAAGATATAAAACTTACAAAATTAAATACTATACTTAGTTTTAATGAATGTAGTGAATAAAGTCTAAAACCTCTGAGAAGATTAGTTATATTTTGCCCATTAGCCACGGCTACTTATAATAATTATTATAAGTATACGGGCAGGTAGAGATCTCCTCGAAGGATCGCGTAAAACTAATACTCTGGCCACCTCAACTGAAAATATTCACCTTATTTTTTTTAACAATGTATCAAAATAAAATAGTCACTTAAATTGGTTCTGGTGGCGGGTAAAGAATGTAGAGTGGGCCGGTATGGCTTGTAATTTATAATGTTCCAGCTATTGTTGACGCTCGCTGTTATACAGGGAAAATGATATGTTACACTTATTGTTTTTTTATATTTATTTAAACTGTCTACGGCCTGTTTAGATGAATCATCATCTTCATCAATTTATGGTTTAATAGCTTGAGGGCTACCAATATTTTATGGGGAAATTTGCTTCTAGAGTATAAATTTTGTTTTTTGCCAAATAGAAAAATATACCAGATACCTATGCTTTTATTATTTTTATCTTTCTTAATTTTAATTCAAAAATTATGTATTTTCGCCAAAATATATTTAACAAATATACAGGGTGGTGTTTACCTTTTTAATATCAGCATTTTGAAACCAAAGTTATGTTATACAGGGAGTTTCACATTCGTGGTTCATTAAAAGTTTCTGGAAAACGGAAAGTCTATTTTTTTAAATATTTTAAACAAAATGTCACTTCCGGTTTAACCGAGAGTGACATCAACTTTGTTATTTCAAATAAAACACCCTATATATTTTTACATTTATAATAATAAAGTTGGTTTCACTTTAGGTTACACCGGAAGTGGCATTTTGTTTAAAATATTTTAGTAAAATAGACTTAAATGGATTACCTATAAGCGCTTTTAAAATTTTAAATCCATATCTTTTTCCGTTCCCCAGAAACTTCTAGTGAACCACGAATGTGAAACACCCTGTATATATTTTTAAATCTATTAATAGCAACATGTTTGATGATAGTAGGTATATATTATTATACGAGAGATAATGCGCATGATCTCGAGTGTAATACTATATATAGTATACTTTATCTAATCCAATAAGTAGATAATTAAATGATTTTCAAAAATAAATAGATAAAATCTGACATATGTCAAACGGTTAACCTCACTTTTTACCAATTTTAGATGTTATTTTAGTCGCCTTCTGCCAATTTAAAACCCGATTGGTTCAGATCACAGTGAATATTGAAATCGGCCAATTACTGCAGTAATTGGCCGATTTCAATATTCACTGTGATCTGATGCATCATGATGCCTAACAACGTGAATAATGAGTTCATTATTCCCGTTGTTGGGCAGGGAATTCATAATGTTTATCATGTTTATTATCACGAGCGAGGCTTATGAACGATTTTTGTCCAAAGGTACTAACCTTACTTTTTAACGATCATTTTGACGATTGTGAAATAATATTAAATGAGATGGTGATACAATTTTTTTTCTCAAGATCCCTTCAACATTCGAATCTTCACTGGAACCTAACATCCTTGAACAACAATCCAGGACGCGGCATCAGATCGGGAGTTCGTTCTCCATGTGCGGTGGCGAAACGGAGGTATGGCTTCATAAAAGTGCAGGCGAAGCTTTGCCGGAACGCCATGGAGGCCATGCCGCACGTTCAGACGGCAGCCATGCTTGCCGCAGACACCTGCAGGATCGTCTTCAAGGATAGGAGATGGAACTGTTCGTCGATCACTACAGCGCCTTATCTGACTCCAGATTTGACAAGAGGTAGAACAATTACAAACAATTTCAAATATTATGTACTATACCACGATACACAAAAACCGGTATGCTGATGCGTATGTTATAGCTATCTTTCTCGCACCGTGTGACGTCATGTGCGAACCAAAAGCTGGCGGTTTACTGGGTTGGAATGTTAATTGCACTGCAAATTCAAGTTATATTCAAAAATGTATAAATATAGGGACGGCCTGGGTGCAATTATTAAGTGTAACAAATGTTAAGAGAAAGCTAAATTGGCAGCAAGCGCTTTTAATACTAATGTAACATATTTTAAGCAACAATTAATTTCCTAACTCCCTATTATTATTTTTCAAAATATTTTTTATTTCATTAAATTAACTTAACTTACCTACGCTAGACCGAATTTACATTTTTTTAATGGGAAAGGTAACAAAATTATAAAAATGCATTTATATAGGTAATAATAACGCTTTAAAGTGTCAAAAGTAAAAAAAAATCCCAAAACGATAGAAAGGTGTTTTAATTTTTATTATTCGTAAGAACTTATGCAAGCTGTAAAAAAATATGTGGTTAGGGGTGAAAAGTTACTAGAAAATTTGGTATACCAAAAATTGCCTTTATAAAGTAAGTATACTTACCGTTTTTTATTTTAATTTTATCCTTTCTCTTGCAGACATTGTGTGCACTGTGCTGTCATATCTATATTTTTTGGAAATCAAAAATATTTAATGTTAGGTTAGGTTGGGTGTTGGAGTTTCCGTTCATATTTCTGCTGTCTGCTACAGCACAGCCCGGCATATTTTAAATCGTTATTAAGTCCAACAAATATAACACATACTTGATAAAGAACCTGGTATAAAACACCCGTGCGTGGCTTATAAATACCTTGTAAATAGTTATTGCTGTTCAATAAATGAAGTAAAAACTTTACAAAATACGTTGCAAAACCATCGTGCGTAGCTTATATTTAAAAAACACAATAATTTAAACTTAAACTTAAAAGAAATCGTAGTAAATCACCCGTGCATAGCGTATGCCTATGCAAAACTGTTTGTAACATTTTAATCTGGTTCGCACGTGACGTCACATGCGCGGAGTCGATGAGTTTTTGTTTCATAACCAGCATACCGGTTTTTGTGTATCGTGATGTTATGTAGATTGTATGGATTTGTTTAATGGGTTACATACATATGGGTTGGGACAGTTGAAATTTTCAAATGAAAATTTCAACTTTGAAAGTTTCAAACTTGAAATATTTCATTTAGTTGGAAAAGTAAAATTTTTAAAAATTCAAAATGAAATTTTCAATTCGAAAATTTGAACATTGCCTGTGAAACTTTTAGAAGTTTCATTGAAAGTTTCGCAATTTACTGAAAATTTCGCATACATTTCACATGCGGCCTCCCCTGGGACCTTTAATAATAATTTACAACAGATTCCGAATCGACCAATAAGAACCAGTTATCAAGCGTCTGGGCGTTTTTGTTTAGTTCGGCTTGGATTTGAATACAAGATTAGTAATTATTGTTACTTATATGCATACATTAATTTAAATAATTTAATTCAGTTACCAGTTTAATTTGGAAATTAAATCAGACTTTAAAATTTTTTTAAAAGTCATGATTAATTTAAACTTTTACTTTTGCTATAATTGCAACGGATGAAAAATGCCTTTGGCTCATAAAATTTTGATGAAGTTTCTTCAATTTTTGTAAAATCTCAGTGAAATATATAAAAATAATAAATATATATAAATATAAAACAATGAAAGTGGCACAATCTCATTAGCTTACCAAAAAGTGCTATATCTCTCTTAGTTTTAGTTATTTTAAAAGAAAATCTCAAGAAATTTGTGGTAAACATAGGTATTTACTATTTATATTATTGGTGGTGAGGGGTAGGAGGTAAGAGAGGCAATTTGCCATGGTCCCCGAGTGGGCTTATTTCAATATATATAATATATTACACTTAAAGTGATTGAAATTTATTGAAAAGTTCAATACATTTCATACATTTCATGAAATTTCAGAAATTTAGGAAATTTTAATAAATTTTATAAATGTCATGAAAATTTCAAGTGAAATTTCAAGTATAAGCAAAAAGTGAAATTTTCCCAACCCTACCTACATGTGAGGTCTTAAAAATTAACGGTATTTGGTGATTTTGGGTTTTTAATAATAATTATATTGAAACGAAATATGGTATGTTTCGAAGTATTTGTAAAAAAAAAATATGCAAAAATATGGAAAATTGTGGAGAATGCGGTGAGCAAGAAATATCGAAAACCGCCCAACACATCTTAATAAAAAAGGGTTTCGCAAAAAAAATGTTCACGCAAATGGCGGTGATTTTACCAAAAAAATCTACTTTCGAGGGTACAAAAATTGAGTTTTCCGGCCGAAAAAAATAAAAAATTTCGTCCAAATAAAAATCCCTTCGTTCGCGAAGGACCTATTACAATAAGGACCAACACCAACACAAATTTCAGATCGATAGGTAAATTGGTTTTCGAGAAATCGTGCTCGCGGCAACGGCACAAAAAATACGATTTCGAGATAAACGCTTTTAAGGTTTTAAATTCATTTAATTTGCCTTTCGTGAGCTTCAAAGAATAACAAAAAACAATAATAAACTGAAAAAGTTTGATCTTGAAATGAAATATTTTGAGAAAGTTTATGAACATTTCGTATTTTAAGATGGATCAGACACTGTGACCTTATATACAAATTAAACTTCCGTTCTGAAAAATAATAAAAAATGAGATACAACACTTTGTAAAATTATAGGTTTAAAATTCACACGTTCTTGGTAAATTCTTTATACAATTATTGTACGTAAATAATTGCCTCAAGTCAATGTATCAAGTAACGGAGAGAAAAAGGATTCGCATTTCGTGGCACGTCTGCTTGTCCTTTCTAAAGAACTAAAAATCAAAATAAACGAAAAAGGATCAACCCTCCCTTCTGGACACTTGAAATTCAGCGCACGAAAAAATCTCGATGAAGTTACAGGAAAGTCAATAATGGACACACGTGTGTGGGTACGTGGCGGGATGGTTTTTTCGGCTACTTGTAACAATCACAATTGGTCTAATCTTTGGGAGTTTAACGGAATTTTCCTTACATCGATGATATATACGGATGAGATTGAAAATTTCTCCCGGAGTCGTACGTGACTGGAAAACGCGATTTCCATTCGGATTTCTCTCTATTTAATTGCTTGCATTCGTGTTTTGTTGTTCTTTTTTGTACGGGAATTCGGGAATTTATTTACAGAAGGAATCAGCGGATAAAAATAAACACTGCACTCTTAGAAAAGACCTGGTATTTGCAATGAAAATTTAGTTCCCAGAACCAATTTTATTAGTGAAAATAGGCACAACAAAAAAATATGTTGTGGGAACTAATACAAATTTGTTTTTACAGTTTGTTGTCGGAACAGCCAATATTGGTAGCTCCAACCAACAAGTTTAAGTGCATCGAAATTAGTTTTTTTTTCATACAAATAATTGATATTTAATGCAATCACATTAGTCTGTCATTTTAGCAGCGTCTAAGTTGTAACAACTGCACTTGCTATTTATCGCAACAAACATTGTATCATGCAGGAATTTATTTTTTAATTGAAATTACATGAAAAAAGGTACATTTAAAGAATTTAATAGTTGATATAATATAAATTTGTTTTGTATTGTAACTAAGTTATATTTAATATTAAATGCTTGCATTAGTAGCAACAACAAATTGGTATTATTCCACAGTACATACCTGCTTAGTAAATATAACACTTTTTGTGTAAATATTATAAAAAATAGAGAAAGGAAATTCATGCCCGTTCGTTTTATAAATATTTATTATAAATTAAAAAATAACAATATAACTGAAAACACCAAATTTTGGTTTAAACATTATAACAAAAATTAATAATTACTATAAGAAAACATTTATAAATATTTTAACAATAAAACAAAAACGATTCTTTGGTAAATATACACAGATAGGTACATTAAGATGAAAGTTGACTATACTTCTTCAATAAACCGTGATGTTTACGTGAAGTGTAAGCCTTTGTTTAACAACTTAACAATGATTCTTAGGTACAACGTAACATACTTGCATGATAACAGGGATAAGAATTCGAAATTCCGACGTGATGGAGACTTTTGGAGGGCACCATTGGATTCAGGAGGCCATTTTCAGTCGGAATAGCATTTTCACATTTTTGAATTTTTTTTCGGGCCCCAAAACTACAATAGTGTAATTAAAGGAGTGCAATAATAATACCTAACCTTTAAAAACTGGAACCAATTCAGGTAAACCCCATGTTCCTAATAAATCTGCTACTTCAGTCCGCTTATCCATATTATTTGTTCGAGATATCTATAAGTAACCAACACATAAGAATATATTCTTATATATAATTTTTAACTATTCATATATATATATATGAATAGTTAAAAATTATGTCGCCACTGAATTTACAGGGGCAAATGACTAATTGTAATAAACTAGTTTCTTACCTAAAATATACACAACACACGAGCTGATACACAAATACAAAAGAACAAACACCACCGAAGTCTGGACGCCGTGCAACACCGTTTGTTTACAGGTTAAAAGTAAAGCACGCGCCGGGCTGGACCAATCGCGCGCGAAATGCACAAAGTTTGCAGTTGCATTAACCTACAGAGACAACATCCCCAACTGACACTTTGTTTCACACCGCTGGTGTCTTAGCTGTATGAAAAGTGACGCATAGTTTATACAACCGAACCGTTAGTTCCACGGACTAATTTCAGTCAGTTGAGAATGTTACTTAAATATTTGGTCCAACAAAAACATTTTACCGCCGAAATGATTTTTTTGAGATAATGTTGTCAATACTTCTAGCCAACACAAAGTTTCAGTTAAAATAACTTAATCGCCTTTTTGCAGTAAATAATACTCCACAACAAAACTAAATCTTTTCAGGTAATGATGCAAGCAGTTACACATATAAAGGTACTGATTACAAAAAACAAAAAATGTTATTTTCTGCAACAGTTTTACCCCAACGATAATAAGTTAGTTACAAATACCAGGTCTTTTCTAAGAGTGTGCGATTTGGACAAATCAGATTTTTTCAGGATGAATGTGAACTGTTTTTAGTCCTGTAATTGGGATTATATTTATTTTTTGGTAACGAAAAACTAAAAAAATGCGTGTCAAGGATATAAATTAGATTATAATCTGCCGTCTTGATAAAGATATACAGTGTTGGCCATAATTTTTGCAACCATTGTAAAAAAATCTAACTCTAAAACGCCTTTATTATTCGTTGAAATTTTGGATAAAAATACTTCAACTTATATCTAAGTTTACGTGTTCGAGGGTTTTTCGAGAAAATATTTTTAAAGCCCTTTTATTTAATAATGAAAAAACGTTCGAAAAATAACTTTTAGGGTAATAAAGTAAATAAAAAATATGCTGTTAAAGACCGTATTTTATAAATTGTTTTTATAAAAGTAATATATTACTAAAAATGCAGTGTTGTTTTTAGATTTTTAAAGCTAAAACGCATTTATACAATGTATCCACATTTAATTTTTAACTTTTGTTTTCGAGGACGACTAGGACTAGGATCTAAGAATATGAAATTAACCTACTTTTAAATTCTTCGATTAGATTTTTAAAACCCGAATCCCATTTTTTAATAAATCTGCCACAAACTTATCCATTTTTGCTCTTTGTTTACAACTAGTGTAAATAGTTCTGACCGCTACCTACACTCAACCCTAGATAAATGCAATTATATTTTTATACAGTACACTGGCCAGAGGGACGTTGTTTTGGTATGCCAAGACAAAACACACTAACAACCTTAAATCAACCAATCAGAGAAGGATTTTTTTTACTATAAACAACTTGAATTAAAACTACCACACTTGTACACATTTTTCAAACAACTTGCGAATAAGTTTACCACAACGACGCACAGTGCGGACTACGGTGGACAAAAATCGAAAAAGAAAGTTTAATTTGTAATGTTCTAATATTTCAAAAGTATAGATAAAAGTCCAGTTTATCCATAATCATTAACTATTATTTAGTCGCACTTTCAAATAGTGATTAAATTATCGTATAAAAAACCTATAACAAAATTAATTTTACTGGTTCTGCATTTTATTATAAAACATTTTTTCTTTAAGTGGTATAGACTTGCACATTTTAAAAATGTACGTAATTATACAAGCCTATTAAATGAAATTTCAAAACTTGAAATATCTGCGGCACTCAAAATATAAAAAAAAAACAATTAGGTAAAGTAACAAAATTGATTCTCAACTCAATAAATCCCTTTTAATCTTTTGTGCTTTGTAAGATTACCGATAATTTGCTCCGGATTTATGTTTCTGATAAACAACGACATCAAATTGGCCGACAAATCAGTTGTTGAAGCTGTTTAAAATTTTAAAAATGTATGGATTAGCCACTCAATTGTGTATAAAAGTTTTACTTTATAACACAAAAAAACACAATTAGACCAGTGCAGAAGCCTTTAAAAATGGTAAAAAGAGAAAAAAAATAACAGTAGGATGAAACCCATTGGAAAAGGAGGGGAATATAATAAAAATTAAAGGAAAAATAAATTACGGGCGATCTGACTTCGGGAAGTGGGAGGGGGGGATTTTAAGGGTAAAAAATGGTTTATCTCGATTTCCGGCAAAACTACAAGTCCTATGGAAAAAAGTTAAATGTCAAAGTTGTAGGTAATAAAAAGATCTACAACTTTTGTATTTACAATTTTTTCACATAACCTCAAAATTTATGTGAAAAATTCAAAAAACCAAGTTTTTGGTTTTTTATTTTTCTTTTAAAAAAAAAATTTTTCCACGAAATTTGGTGAAAACTTACCTTTTTATATCCCAAATACACTGTAATTTATTTGATTTGAAATATTTATTATTTCGCCTTATTTTGACTTAATATCAAAAAAGCACCCTAATTTTCAATCGAAAATTCTCGCGTCAAAATATCAGCTTTTTTCAAAAAGTCGGTGTGCTTTTTGTTCGATGAACTCTCTTCTTTCTGATGGTGTAAAAAAATATACATTACTATGGTAAATGTTCTCAGAAAATACAAAAAATATTATAATGAATAACGTAATCAGAATGAAGTATCTAAATTCAATAGTATGATTTACATGTATTTTTATATTTTATGATATTTTCTGACATAAATGTTATTAGAATTTAATAAATAAACTTTTTAACTAAAAAAAATTGCAACAATCATTTTTTTGATGAAATTGTACATAATGATTAAAATAAATTTTCGAATTCGAGTTTTTTTCGTTATTCATTATAATATTTTTTGCATTTTCTGAGAACATTTACCATAGTAATGTATATTTTTTTACACCATCAGAAAGTAGAGATTTCAACGAACAAAAAGCACACCGACTTTTTGAAAAAAGCTGATATTTTGACGCGAGAATTTTCGATTGAAAATTAGGGTGCTTTTTTGATATTAAGTCAAAATAGGGCGAAATAATAAATATTTCAAATCAAATAAATTACAGTGTAAAAGATAAAAATAAAAAACCAAAAACTTGGTTTTTTGAATTTTTCACATAAATTTTGAGGTTATGTAAAAAAATTGTAATTACAAAAGTTGTATATCCTTTTATTACCTACAACTTTGCCATTTAACTTTTTTCCATAGGACTTGTAGTTTTGCCGGAAATCGAGATAAACCATTTTTTACCCTTAACCCCCCCTCCCACTTCCCGAAGTCAGATCGCCCGTAATTTATTTTTCCTTTCATTTTTATTATATTCTTCTCCTTTTCCAATGGGTTTCATCCTACTGTTATTTTTTTTGGTTTCAAAAATTATCGACCCTGGTCTAAATGTGTTGTTATATTTTTCAAAAATAAGACGAAATTAGCGTTAACTGATAGATATAACTTCAATTGACTGCTTTTCTTATTCAAATGTTGCTAAAATTAACACGAACTGTAATAAAAAGTTTTTTTACGGTTAAACAACTTCAACGAAGGAAAAATATAAGCATACTTTTTTTTTCAGCTACAAGAGAGCAAGCATTCGTCTACGCAATAAGCTCGGCAGCTTTAACCTACACAATGGCGCGCGCATGCGCAAGTGGCTCATTATATCACTGCTCATGCGCGACTAAACCAACGGAACCTCCCGAGGGTACTTTTCAATGGGGAGGTTGTGGGGATAACCTCAAGTGGGGTGCGCATTTTGCGAAGAGGTTTATAGACAACGCAGAAAAATACGTGGCGGAGAAGGCCAAAAAGAATGTGAAAAGAGATAATAGTTTGGAGGAAAATAGGGAGGCTATTTTGAAAAATGAGGTGGCTGTTATTAATTTGCATAATAATAAAGTGGGAAGAAAGGTAACGTATTTTATTTTAAAGTGCTGAAAGTCTGAAGATCCATTTTTGTAGGTTATTTTAGAGGGGTTAAGGATCCAGTGCAAGTGCCATGGCGTTTCCGGTTCCTGCAACATCAAAACTTGCTGGAAGGCACTTCCTTCCATAGCAGAAGTGGGCACCAGGCTTTTGCAAAAGTACACCAACGCCAAAGAGATTGAAACCAAGGCATACGAACAGCATATCGCTACGTTAAAACCCAAGAAAATATCGGATCAACTCTTGTTTATATCAAAAAGTCCTGATTATTGCACCAAAGATGAAAGACTTGGTAGTTTGGGAACCGTTGGAAGGTAAGAAAAAATAAAAAAGTATTAAATTATCTACCAAGAACACAAATAAGAATTTAAAGCCAATTTTATGTTAAACGTTTGACATATATCAACTGTCAACGAATTTAACCTCACTTTTTCTCAATTTCTGTGGGTAAAAGGCATAAGGGGATAAGTTAAAAAAAGCAATTTTTCAATAGAGCCTTTAACGTGTTCGCATTAATTCAGGAAATATATTTATGTTTAGCGGATATACGCTTTTGTTAGCATATGACATGGGCTAAAAAAAGGGTATACCCGCTAACCATAAATATGTTTCCTGGATTAATGCGAATACGTTTAAGGCTCTACTGAAAAATTGCTTTTTTTGACTTATCCCCTTATGCCTTTCACTCACAGATTTATAATAAATTAGATAAATGCCATTTCAGTCACGAGCCTAGAAAACTTTATAAACGAGTTGCCTACTATACTTTTTCTACGACATATACTTAATATTATCTAAAAATTAAATATTTGTATAAAGCGACATCTATACGAAAATAAATTAACCATCCCAATAAACATTTTTAACGTATTGTTCACCATTAACATTGCCCGTTATTATTTTAATTAACAACAATTATTGATACTTAAAAATAATAAAATAACTTCAAAATATGATTAAGTAAAGAAAATATGTTATCCTTTGATTATCGCAAAGTATTAAAAATTCGTACACGGGAAATGTGAACAAAAAGTGACAGTTGTATTTATTGGAATTCCCGTTAGAATTTGGGAATCTACCGGCGCCGCGGCGTTAAAATCTCAAATTATTCTGTGTAAATCAAAATTAATCCCTTGAAAATAGACTAACAATCGATATAGAAGCAGTTTTTCACAGTAATAGAGAAAAGAATGTTTCATGGGCACTGTACGCAAAATTTTTAACGCTTAATCAGTTAAATCTAGTTAACTGCACTACTACGGCAAAATCAAAAGGTCAGTTCAAACGTTCATATAATCTTTTCAAATAATGGCGTCAAGAAAGTATTTAATACTTTTGTATTTTTGTATTGAGATAATAAAATAATTTTCAATTTAGTAATAATTTACAATAAAGGCACTTTATTTTAACGATTGTAAGACATTTGACAACTGTCAACTAACTTAAAACCAACTTCAGCCCGTAACTAAAAACCTGTTGCTAACTTTAGCCTGTGACTAAAGAGCCATAAAGCCACAACTTGTAAATTTGTAATTCTAGTGAAAATGGATTTTGTAAAATGAACAAAGTTAAAAAATCTGTTACAAAGTAGTTGACCGCAATCATGAAATTAAATAAATAAGACTGTTAAATTCTCGGTCTGTCAAGGGGAATCGGCGAAATAATGTCTGGCCATTCAATATTTGTTATCGAGACGAAGGTTTCAAGACACCGCGCCAATTAATACGTCAACGGTATATAACGCAGAAATGCTTGAGCAAAATTTATGTTCCCTAATTACGAGAGAACGTTTAACGAAAAAGTGGCCTGAATGCTGGCCGCGACTAGGGAAACTGCTCTCGGCAGGCAAACGCATTAAAATTTTTAGCAAATATCTTTGGGTGGCCGACCTATTGAATTGAAATAATTTTTAGCACATTTAATTGTTCATATCCCTTTGAATTGCAACAGCAATATATGATTTTTCTTTTTTTTATATCTATTTTTGAGATTTTTTAACCCAATATTAATGTTCGTATGGTTTCACATTTTATAAATAAATGGATAGTAAGAAAAAAACAATTTAACTTCTGCTTGTTAAGAAAATAATTTATATAGGGTGTAACATAAAGGTTGGGAAAAATGAAAGGGTAAACACCCTGTATAAATTCTTTTTTGACAAGCAGAAGTTAAATAGTTTTTTTCTAAAATGGTTTCATGTTTTTATGTTTGATTATTTGCTTTTAAAATTTTAAACACAGTGAGAAAATTTCACGACTTTAACAGAAAAAAAGTAAAAAAAACTTTAAGCGGTTTCATATACAGTGTTACCCATTTGTTTGCGACTCACCCCTGTAAAATCTTTATTTATTGTGCGATTTTAACCGGATTTGTTTTAAAATGTATGCCATATTAGTACAAAATACAAGGCCTACTATGTCAGTTTTTAAGAGTAAATTTTTAGGAACTCATATTAGCGATTTTTTTAAACAAAACGACCCTATGAAAAATTTTAAGAAAAAAAATGCACAATAATAACTACAAAAATTTATTTTGTAAAGGTATCCATGAAAAAAACATTGAAATAAAATTTAACTTATAGTTTATTTCATGGATAACTTTACAAAAGGATATGCTACTATTAGTTTAATTTTATTTCAATGTTTTATCAAGGAAAACTCGGTTAAATAAATTTTTGTAGTTATTATTGTGCATTTTTTTTCTTAAGATTTTTTAATAAAATTTAGTAGGGTCGTTTTGAGGGGTGGTGAATCCAGTGCCGTGCTTAGATTTTGTTTAAAAAAAATATCTAATATGAATTCTTAAAAATTTACTCTTAAAAACTGACATAGTAGGCCTTGTTTTTGTAAAAATATGGCGTTTTTTGCTTCAAAAATACAGTTTATCAACATCTACACTTTAAAACAAATCCGGTTAAAATCGCACAATAAATAAAGATTTTACAGGGGTGAGTCGCAAACAAATGGGTCACACTGTAGATTCATTTGATTTTGCGGGAAAAGCGTTTTGACGTTTCGACCAATCCTGCGAATTCGCAAGATTTGAAATCTGGGGGGCGGGAATCTTGAGATTTATCCAATATTTTGCGAAAATCGCACAAATTTGTCGTGATGCGCATTAATTAATTCTGTCTTCGTTTCAACAATAAATTTCGTTTCAACAATAAATAAGCGCAATTGCACACCTTAATCGCCAATGGTATACTTAATTGTTCATTCATAATAAAAACACAAAATCTCAATTCACATAAAACAACAAATAGAAAATGTTAAGTTAACTTAACCAAGTATGGCAAATATCGCCTGGGGAGAAAATTATGTCCCTAAAATACCATGGCAAATATCGCCTAGTGAGAAAACAATGAAATAGGAGAAGCGAAATGCGAATATTCGTATTTCGCATCTATATGAAACCGCTAAAGAAGTATTGCTAGTAGCCCCACCTCGTGGCCGTTATCATCGTAACCAAACTACAACTTTTAATAATCAGCTGTCAAACGTGTACGTTACAAACGAGTGTTTTTGAGAATTAGGTCGAAAAATGTTAAAAATATCGGGAGAAAAAACGTGCAACGATTTTTTGTGTTGTTGGGTGTTTTTCGAGAGGAAATCCTGGGTTGAGTTTTTACAGGTTTCCGAATAAACAGTGAAAACCCGAATAAAGAAATAAATTGCATACAGTCCCTGTAAATATAAAGTCTACCTTTAGATACAATAAATACACAATTCTATGATTTACGTGGAAATTGTGAACAATTAAATTCAGTAAAAACGGGTATTATATTATTTATTATATTTAATTTTGTTGCCATAAATTCTTGATATATTTTGTTGTTCAATATTTTAAAATGCAGATGTCGGCGTTTTTAGGGTACCTACACAAATATAAAAATGTTTGATTTTAAGGTTATGTTTGTTAGATTTCTTAAAAATGTCCAAACTTAAATATAAATTATATAAGGTAAAGTTATCATTACTTCAGTGGCGTAATAAGCACCCCCGCAGACCCCGCACCGCGGGGGGGCCCAGACGGTCAGGGGGCCCAAGGCGTTCTTTTTCGAAACTAAAAGTAGTGAAAACATATCTTCGTAACACTATGGGAAAACAACGTCTTTGTAATTTATCAATTATTAGTATTGAACATGAGTTTATTAAGACATTAAACATTGACAATATTATAACGGAATTTGCAAAAAAAACTCTAGAAGATCAGACCGTTTTTTGTAGTAATTCTATAAATACTTAGACAATCGCATTTTGTGTTTGTTTTTAATTTTTTTTTAATTTAACTTCTTTAAGACTGTCTACAATATGTTTTTAATTTTTTTTTCAAGACTGTTTAAACTTGGTAAGCTATGTAGTAGGGTGAGCCAAAAAAACTAACCTATCCGATTTATGGGTTAAAATGAACCTACATACCGAGCAAAAAATTTCCCTGCAAGGCAACATTTTTTGCTCAATTTTAAAAGGTGTCGGTGAGCATTCCATTGAAATAAGGCGTAAAAAAATCTTTTTTCATTAAAAAGACTATAACTTTTAAACCGTTTGAGATGATTTTTTTTACGTCGCGGATTCTTGTAGAGCATAAAATTTCCCAAAGAATCTATGCCAGGATTATTTTTTTTAATTCAAAAATTCGTATGTTTGAAAGCTTTGAAAAGTGTAAAAAATCACTAAAACTGCAGTTTCAATGGAAAACTTAAAATGCTCACCGACACCTTTTAAAATTGAGCAAAAAATTTTGCCTTGCAGGGAAATTTTTTGCTCGGTATGTAGGTTCATTTTAACCCATAAATCCGATAGGTTAGTTTTTTTGGCTCACCCTAATATGTAGGTATACATTTTTTAAATTATTATTATTTTTAAATTGTTATTATTGCTGGTGTAATAGTATAATACTGCCGTTCTAAGGTTCTAAGAAAGGCAAAATTTGGTAATAAGAACAGAAAATGTTTAGGTAATTATTATTTAAATATTTTTTTAAAAGAATCCTAATAAGATATTATATATTATAGAATTACGAAAATGATCCTGCATATAAAAAGGTATATATTTAGAATAAGATATTTTTAAACCAAAATTAATTAAATATTTTATGTTTTACTACCAAAAATTGCAGATACAGCAATTTTTCTTATCTAATTCTTTTTTATTTGCTTATCGTATGCCTGTGTATCGTATACACTCTATATCTGTCAAAAATTTTAATTTAAAAAATATTATGTATATAATGTAGGTTTAAAAGTACTATGATAAACTATTTTAAAAATTACCTATTAAATAATTTTTTTAATTATTGTAAAGAGGGCCCATTAAAATCGTTTGCGGGGGGGGCCACTCAGAATTTGTTACGCCACTGCATTACTTAAATTATGCACCAACAAATATACGTACCGAATTGTATCCTTTGGCAAAACATGAAAATGTAACGATTTAGTTTACAATTAAAAACACAATATGGTCGCCACTTTTTATGCCTTATTGCTACCTAATAAAATTTAAGAAAAAAGTATATAAAGCGGTTTTAAACATATTAAGAAAAAACTGTTTTCTTTCAATTTTGAACACGCTATATCTTATAAGTTGATATGAATCTTTTGTCCTTAAAATCATCCAAGGATAAAGCAGCATAATGTAGGCTAGCATCAGCAACCAATTAAGAAACACCCTGTATACTTTTTTTCTTTTTTAGGCAATGCAACGTAACGTCAAACGGGCCAAACAGTTGCCGGCAACTCTGCTGCGGAAGAGGGTATAGAACGGTAGTGGAGGAGAAAATTGAAAGATGCCAGTGCAAATATTACAACTGCTGCTACGTTAAATGTAAAGTCTGCAGGACTATGACACAAAGATATGAATGCAGCTAAATGATGTAAGGCTTGTATTGATGTTAAAATTGGGTAATAAATTCAAAATTTGTTTATGTCGCAAATAACACAGATTAAAACGATATTGTAATTGTAAGTTACAACTGGCTCTTGACATATCAAATCGACCAGGGAAAAAGGGGTAGATCAATAAGACCCGTATTTTATCTTTTTGATTAAATTTGTTTTGTTCACCCGTAGGAAATTTTTAAAACATTATTTCTTGAAAATGCGTTAACTTGGCCAAAAATGTTTCGATCGTTACAATTTTTTTAATTGTTTTTTCTAAAAAAGCCAAAAAAACTAGGGTCAAAATTTTGACATTACACATTTATTTTTACTTCATATTTTTTTCGTTTAAAGTTGATAATATGAACAACTTTCACTAAAAGTCCCGTCAATATTTTCTTGAAAAACCCTCGAACACGTAAATTGAGATATACGTTGAAGTATTTTTATACAAAATTTCATAAAGATTGGTAAAGGCGTTTTAGAGTTAGAATTTTTTTTTACTTATTATGCATTAATTTTGACGGGCACTGTATTATTTTTTTAATGAAAATGCCCTTTTCTAGAACGATGTGGCTCCCGTCCCGAGGCGGGACTTAACTTCGTTCCCGACAGACGTCACACACTGTAAATCCGTTTTTATTCCCCGAGCTTTTATAATTGGTGTCAAGCTGGATGGCTTAGATGGTAGGGCGGTCGCTTGGCATGCGAGAGGTACCGGGTTCGATTCTACTAGAAGTTGTCAAAGTTTTTTTATTTTTTTTATTTTATAAATTTGTTGTTTCTTTGTTAAAAAGTGTTTTATTTTTATCGTAACATAAATTTGCCCATTTTAGTTGGGTTTTTTGCTCAATGGGGCGGGGGGGGGGGCCCAATGGGGCGGGGTCGGTTGGGTTGTGTTGTTGAGTTTGGGTTGGTTTGGTTTTATGACGTAACTAACGTGCCCTTAACATGTATACAGGTACAATTTATTATTATTATTTTATTATAACATAACAAATCTTAAAATTATGACGTCAATCGGGACTGAACTTAAGTCCCGCCTCGGGACGGGAGCCACAGCGTTTCTAGAAATGTGGAAATGACCTCAATTTTTTTGCCTTTTTTAGAAAAAACAATTAAAAATGAGTAAATTAACTTAATTTTTTACATTTTTTTGTATGTAGTAAACATTTACCTATAATTTAAAAATAAATTGTAACGATCGAAACATTTTTGGCCGTTATCGCATATTTTAAGAAAAAATGTCACTCGTAAAAAGAGAAAAATCGATATTTCTGTCCATTTTTTTAAATTTCCTACGGGTGGGGTGAACAAAACAAATTTAACCAAAAAGAAAAAATACGGGTCTTATTAATTTCGGTGGGGAAACTGTAAAAAAAATTCGTTAAAAAATAACCACCTACCCCTTTTTCCTGGTCGATTTGAGATAAATCGACTATAGTTAGCCTACATTATAATGTAGGCATCAACTTGTGTTTTTTTTAGAATAAAAGAAACCCATTATACCTAATGTATATGTATATGCTATAAATTAGTTACGTAGGTTTTTATATAATTTATTGGATTATTTTTCCGGAAATGTGGATTATTTATTATAAGTACTTAATTCATTCCAATAGGATGTAGTATGTATTTGCTTGAATATTAATGTTTAAAGTACAAAAATAAGTAATGTAGTCGTATTGTAGGTTTAAGGAAATAAAAGCTGATGTATATATTACAGAAATCACAATTATTTATTAAAAAATTAACTAATATTTATTAAAAATGTACATTTTTATAGTTCAGAATGTATATCAGTCCTCCCTGTAAAATAATAATAAAAATAATCAATAAATGTATCAAACGTAAATTTTATTATTATTTACCTGTTGTTTCGGTTTCAGTTTCAGTACTTTCAGCTTCTTCATCAAGAAGACCTGAATCAATTTTTTTCTGCAACTCTCTCAGTTCATCATCGTAACCTTTCCATTCCGGTAAAATTCTCACAGCTGCTGTTAATTTCGCTTCTTTTGTTTGAGGATTGTTACACTTTAAAAAATTATTAAATATTGCAATCATAGTTTAATAAATAAAACATGTATATGATATTTACCTATGTAAAGATGGTAATCGTTAAAACAACTGGTTTTATTAGTTTTAAATATAAATGTAAAACCACTCAATTTATAACGTTCTATTTTAACCTTGGATTAAAAAAAATCCAAAATATTCTTCAAAACATCGAAAAAAAAATCCCTCAAAGTTTTGAGCCCTTAATTTTGATTTTAAGTACTTCCTTTTTTATTTTGAAATTTTCCCATTTAAAAAGCATGGAATTTTTAATCACTTTTTTTTTAAATTTTTATTTTTTTGCGGGGTTTTAAGCTATCATGGTGGTTCATTGTTACTTAGAGTATTTAAAAAGGAAGTACCTAAAATTAAAATTAAGGGCTCAAACTTTGAGCAAATTTTTTTTCGAGGTTTTGATCAATATTTTGGATCTTCGGTGAAAAAACAAAAAATAGTCGTTCTAAATGAAACACCCTAGTGGGGAAGTTTCATCTTTCTAACCACGTTTTCATCTAATGTTTTTCAAATGATCGAGACGAAATGGGGCGACTTTAAAGGGTGATTTCACTTACCAAATCAATTGTTTTCGCGCTGGATTTTGAAGAATCGTCGCACCAAGTTTCGCACCAAAGCCACTCTTGCGGCAGCGATTTTATCGCCACCTGGTGGATCATGTTGTTGGGCAAGTCTTGATCCAAGTTCGATAAACTGTTGGGATCTTGACTCAGAGCTTGGTACTGACCTCTGAGTCTATCGCCGGCGGCTATTCTGCGGAAGCGCTTCAAATCGACAACGTAGAGGGCCGAGATGTGGTACCTTCTGCCTTGGAGATGGTTTCTCCAATAACCTAATAGAGGTAAAGTTATGTGGCTACAGTTAAGAAAATTGGTAACAAATTAAATGCACAGTATTTTATTTAAATGTTCAGTAATAGTATATAACGACATAAATAAGATATTAGGCATAAACAGTGTGTCCACGGATGGATATCTGTAAAAATATTTATTTTCAATTTTTCAAAAAAAAAGTTATTCTTCATAATTTCTTTTGCTTATTATATAAATACAATTTAAGTTGAGAAATTTCCATTTTGCGCAAATGAATACAATAGACCTATCCCATAAAACAAACTTTTGGATAGCGCGTGCCTGAAGAAGAGTGGTATCTCTTTCTCTTTTATATAATTAAAAAAAGACGACGTGCCTTTTCACGCACGCGCTATCCAAAAGTACGTCTTATGGGATAGGTCTATTGTAGAGTTTGCAAAACTAAACATTTTTACATACATTTTTTTGAAGGTCTAATATAAAGAGCTTGTTAGGAGAAACCAAAAAGCCAAATGAATTTTTTTCATGCGTGTTGTTACTAAGATATTTGTTATTAAAAATAAAATCGATTCAGGTCCTAACTTGAGTGGTCCTATTATTTTGTAGAAACTAACTGCTATCTCATTTTGTGATTATGAATCAAGGTTGTTGCTTTTAACTGACGTGTCTACAATGTCTACAATTGACGCGTTTCTCGGAAAAACATCATTAGTCCAAAATTAACATATTTGGGAAAATGAAAAAAACTCTCGACATTCCCATTTTTGACCAAAGTACTTTATTGACCTATTTACTACATGTAAAAAAATGTAAGATACTTTGTCCAGAATTCCTCATGTTTTTTTTTCGACGAATATGAAAAAAACACAAAAAATACATGAACATGTGAGGTTTCTAAAAGAAAAAAACGAACAATTCTCCTTACTACAAACACTACAAACTAAATATTAACTCTGAGTAACAAAATAAATAAAAACTGAATTACTGCCACACTCAGTCTTCGCATCCACTGCTGTTATCATCGTTGTCGACTGTGTTATCAGGACTGTCAGGTGCTATGGTCTTCTGGTCTTTTATCAAGTTATCATAAAATTTTCTATTGCTGTGGTCATGTAAAAGAGGTAGAAGCTTTTCTAGAGTGTCCAAAAACGTCACATGTTATGCACATGTGACTTTCTTAGACAAAACGGAGTGGACTATTATTATGGAACCTATGACATTTTTACGAGAAACACTTATTTGTATACGTATATATGGAGGTTAGAACACAGTTGGTGCTAATATCTAAATTTCGACGATATTGGACTAATGATGTTTTTCCGAGAAACGCCTCAATTATTTGAGGAGTGATTTTTCAAAAGGTCGTATTTCCATTTGCAACAATTTTTCAAAAAAATGACTATAACCTATAGATTATTGGAATTTTTGAAAAATTTTCGTTTTTTCCAAAATTTTCAATTTTTTTTGTTTAATTTTAAACTCAAAACTTTTTTGATTTTTTTTAATATTTCAATTAGCGCTAGTTGGCTAGCTTGGAGGTTATTGTGTTATAATTTTTTTTTAATCTTCAAATTATCCAAAATTTTCGTAATTGTTTTAAAATCTAAATTTTTTCAAAATTTTCATTACATTATTTCATACTCAAAATTATATTTGCAAAAGTCAAATCAATAAAAATATTCCATACGATTTAAAGTTATTTGAAACTATATAAAAATTCAGAGGGGCCGTCAATAAATCTCGTGCGCTAAAAATGGAAAAAAATTACCCCCTGGATTATTTAAAAAAATTTCTGATGAATATTTATTAATACTTCAGACCTGCTGTCATATTTCGCCGTTAATATATGCCTTTTAACCATACCTTTGGGATTTTGTCAAAAAATTACATTCAAGTAAAAATGGAAATAAGGCCTTTTAAAAAATCACTCATTTGTTAAAATTTTAAAACTAATATCTTTAATTTTGAATATCAAATATCTTGGTATCAAAAACTCATATGAAAAACTTCATTTGACTTTTTGATTTCCCCTTCCCAGCTCTTTATATTAGCGCTTCAAAAAATTATTTAAAAATTTAATTTTGAAAATGTGTATTTTTGCTCACCCTGTATAACAAAATAAAAGTTTCTCAACGCGAGTCGGATTTATATAACAAGCAAAAGAAATTATAAAGAATGACCTTTCCTCGAAAAATTAAGTACAGTTAATTCCATCCGTGTATATACATATAACTATACATGTAACTATTGTCAAGTCAGCCAACGCTCAGTATTACGTCTTATGAAGAAAGAAAAGTACCACACATACAAAATTAGACCAGTGCAGGAACTTAACAAAGATAATCCGGACCGTAGACTACAATTTTGTGAAACAATGATGAATTTATGTAACAATAATCCACACTTTCCTCGTAAAATACTTTTTTCGGGCAAAGCTACCTTCTGTTTAAATGGTAGTCAACTGTCAAAATTGTAGGTACTGGAGCAGAGAAAATACGCATTGGGTAGTAGAGACAAATTGCCAATACCGGCAAAAAATGAATGTCTGGGCAGGAATGGTGGAAAATCGGATCATAGGTCCTTTCTTCTCTGATGAGAATATGACAGAACAAACGTATTTGGAATTTTTGCATAACTCTCTTTTTCCCACATTAGCAGAAATATTTCCCAATGAGAATAAAGGTCCCAATCTACCAAGTGATACAATTTGTTTTTAACAGGACGGGACACCTCCGCACTATGCGCGTCCTGTCCGTACTTTTTTGGACACATGTTTTCCTGAGAGGTGGATTGGCAGACGAGGACCGATAGAGTGGCCAGCGAGATCTCCAGATCTCACCCCTCTCGATTATTTCTTATGGGGCTACCTTACAAAGGTCTACATCAACAGACCACAAAATTTAGAAGACTTGAAAAATCAAATTCGTGAAGAATGTCGCTTTATGCGGAAGCTATCCAAAACGTTCTCCAATTTTCGGATAGGCTTGCCTACTGTCAAGAAACCAATTCGAACATTTAATTGGTTAATGTATCCATTAGAAGCATTTTCAAAATAACTTTCAAGAAGATAAAAAATTTTAAATCGCGAACTTTATTTATTATAACATTTATTATTGAGGATTAGGATAAACGAGCGTTTTTTTCTTGAAATTCACAAAAAAGCCAAAGGGGACCATTTTGCGAACAATCAAACTAACAACAACTAATAAACACAGCAAAGAACGTTTTACAAGAGAGGGGATAACAATCAAGTCGATAACTTGTTAGAATAATAATAAATAATACCAAGTTCTTACATTATATTTTAAGTAGCTTTCACAAAAACGAAACAAAAAAATATTATTATTTATTAAATAAAAACACTATAAAACAAAAAAAAAATTGAAAATGTCTATTTTCTAAACCTTAACGTTGCAAAACAAGTATTTAAATTATATTTACCTTGCTTCCAGAACCTAAAACCGTCCATCTCTTTTCTGGAGTCGCAGAAAGGTGCGTAACCATATGGGGCACCACCTAAATCTATCTGTTGTAGTTCTGTCATATCAGCCCTTACAACCTATAAATAAGTATTAAAAATCTAATCCAATCGACATGTCGACGTATGAAGGTTAAAACCCCCATTTATCACAACCCTTAAAACTTCGTATGCGATAAATGGGGGTTTAACCTTCAGACAAAACGATTGGTGATAAAATTTGCGACTGCATAAATTTCCGCGGTCCAGATGTACTGTACTTCAAACCTCACCTGATCGGCATCAACGAAGATAATCTTCTTGACATCGAGAGGGAAAAGCACGTCCAAGAACAGAATCTTGTACCCCCAAATGATCCTCTGCTTCTCGGTTTGCTGGTGGAGCCACCTGGGCCACTTGTACTGCACCAATTCGTACTCGAACCCGTACTCCTTGGCCATGTAGGGCAGGAAATCTTTCACTTGCGGCGACAGGTAGTTCTTGAGGAACCAAAATTTGACCGGCGTTTTGGTGTTTTTCAGGACCGACAGCATCATGATGCGCAAGAAGCGTTCGTAGAGGTGACCCGACGCGACGGAGAAGATGTTCAGTTTCTCCTCTTCGCCGTTTTCGTTCGCACTGAAAGAACTTTAAACGAACAATCTAACCTGCTGAAATCACAGCCGAAACATACCTTGTAATGGAGTTCCATATGCCAGCATTACCCTCATCCTCAGAAAGCAAATCCATGTTTGCTTTGTCGGGCTTCTTCTGAACTTTGAGCTTCACAATGTGGGATTTTAAAGAGCTCAGCACAACTTTGATGTCTTCGGAATTGTCGGGGGTATCGCTACCTTCATGGCTAAAGCAAAATTATTTGCAATAAAAACTACCAAATATGCACCACGGTACGTTGAAAATCCGTTTAACCCAAAAGTTCGAACATTGGAAATTTTTTTAATTTTTTTTCTTAGAGGTCAACCGATCATTTTAAGCCCAAAATTAAAATAGGTCAAAGGTCAAGGTTCAAGGAAATTTGATTTAAAAAATATAATATTTTATTGTTGTGAAGCAAATTAATTTAAAATAGGTAACTAAAATCATAATAATTCCAAAAAAAAATATATTTTTTTAAAAGTTAATTTATCAGGACCGTACTTCTCAAAAGTAGATCCAAGTAAAAAATATCAATGTTAATAATTTTTTTTTAATATGATTTTTTTAACTTGAAAACAGTGGATTTACAATAAAAATAAATTTAATTGAAACTAATCAAAACTTCATTAAACCTTGGTAAGACTAAACAATAGTTTCCATATTTTTTTTTATTGAAGATAATATCCAAATAGTTACAAGAACATGCCTTATAAATTATTTTTGCTATAATAAAATAAATAATAATTTATTGGGGAATTTGGTTTGTTTATAAATAAATAATTTTCACCAAAATAAAATATACTAAAATTTAAAGTTTTTAGAGGCAAAACAAAAAAAATATATTTAAAAAAATCAAATCAAATTTCCTTTAAGGGATGACCTACAACATATTTTAATTATGGGCTCAAAATGATTTGTTGACCTCCTAGAAATATAAAATGAAAAAAAAAACGTCTAGTGTTCGCCCTTTTCAACGTACCTTCAAATCACAATACACAAAAACTGGTAAGCTGGTTGTGAAACGAAAACTCGTCATGACATGACGTCGTGCCTTAAACTATCTATCTTACCTCGCTATTTCGTATATTTCCGAACTTCTGCCTTGTCTGAGCCTTAAAATCCAAGCACCCGGATTGGCTTTAAGTTGGAAGTAGCCCAAGTTTGCCATCACTATGGTATCCACGATCACCGGTTTACTTTCAGTCCCTAAAGTGATTTGTAAACCTCTTGGTGGACTCCCAGTGGTCTGTTCAAAACAGTGACCTTCCAATAGAAGATACTCCAACTCGTATTCACTATATAAAACAATAATTTAACCTTTAAAAGAAGTTAATTGTAATGTCTATGTGTACCTATGCACATTGCTGTCGACATTTTCCAACCTAATGTTGTCCAAATCGTACACGGATCTTACGACTGCAACCAGCCAGTTGTCGGGTACATGGTAGTTTTGGGTTAGCAGCGGTGATGTAGGCATATTGTTGAACCTCGCTATGGGACCTGGGGATTGTTTTCCATCCTCACTGAACTGAATCTCCGGCTCAAGAACGAAGCGATAGAAACTATGACATAAAATTAAACAGTAGGGCAAAGTCAAGATCTGTGAGGTGGCTGTGTTGTCAATTATTTGGAAGCCCCAACCAAAATGCAATTAACGTCACAATGGCAAAATTAAAATGCCAGTAAAATGCTTGTTTTTTTAGAAAAAGAAACAAAGCGGTTTGTTTTTTCAGAAATTTGTTTTTTTCAGAAACATTGCGTTTCTTAATAGAGATTCTCTATTCTTTATTATTGCACGCAGATCGATATCAAAGCGATCTGTTACTTATTCGTAAGAAAAGGGTATTCCCCGGAAATAGTTGCGGCAGATGACGGCAGAGGACGCTGTAGGTTGCTTTGTCCACATACTTCCACACATATACAAACCATTTCTGACTGAGGCTGTTTACTTTTCCTGGGGTTAAAGTTTATGAAAAAATACCATATTTTTGTCTCTATTTGGGAAGTATAATAATACTTTTTAATAAATTGGGTGAAAAAAAAAATTAACAATAATAAACACACAAAATGATGATACTTTAGATTTTATAATGGCATGTTTATATCAGCAAGAATTTGGCAACGTCGTATTTCGACCACGATAGCCAAAAGGTTTTTATCATAGACATACTAATATGTAGATAGTTACTATAATTAACCATTTTATTTGGTTTTTGTTGTATACCAATTGTTTTGGCATTGTTTTTTTTCCATTGTTTTTACGAGATTTTTAGTGACTTTTACATAATATTTATATTATGCCATTTTTACTTTTTATAAAGCCAAACCACAGAAATGTATGTAAGCTTAACCTAGGCGACGTAAGCAAATGATTTAAAAAACTTTGATATAACCTAAATTTTACTTAGTTGACAATTCGTATCAAACCTGGACGTATTAATATGTCTATGGTATCATATATTTTAAATCCCCCACCTATGAACTGACTATGCGCATAATATGATACGGCAAATCGACAAATTTCCCCTCAAAAAAGGAAACAAGGTCATCTATACAAAAAATAGCGAATAAGCAGTACATGGGTGACTACGTCACTTAGTTTCAATGTTACAGGTAGGAGGGGGTGTCCCAAAAAATGTTTGTCGTAGTTTATGGGATATAATTAATTTTTTAATTTGTATAATTCGAAAAACTATACTGTACTGTACTTTATATTACGTCAATCAGGGGCGGCTAGTGCATAAGGGCTGCAGAGCTGCAGAACTCCCAAAATTTTCCTATTACTTGACTAATTTTTTAATTATTTAATATTTAAGTGCGACAGTGTATGAATATTTCAAACGCATGGCTGCATAAAAAGTTTTTATAATAAACATTCGCCGTACTTGGCCACTACAGTCATCCAAACGACCGGTAAAGGTCTCTAACGCTTAACGCTTACAATACAACAAAGCTGGGCCACTTTCGAGTTCTGGCTCCCATTTCAATACCGTAATTTTGCTCCGCGCCGCTCTTGGTCCTAGGTTGAGATAGTGAAATTTAAGCCAAACCGGAGCTGCACCAACATACAGTTCCTACTTCCCGGTCGTTTGTTTTTCGCTTCGCGTTCACGTTTGTTATTTTAACTAGAAGACTGTTAATTCGGTGTATTTTTGTGTTTGTTGTTGTATTCTTTTGTAAGAATGAATGTGGTGTATGATTTAATTATGATTTAATTAATTAACTGTAGGTACCATTTAATTAAATGCCCACTGCGCCACATTTTTTTAAACCCCACTGGCAGAACTCACAAATTTTACTGCCACGAGCCGCCACTGACGTCAATTCTTTAAAAACCCTTAACTTGACAACTAAGCCTCATACAAAAATAAAATTGTGGTTTACCTTCTAAAAGTACAATAATTATTAGAATGAATGTGAACGAATTTTAGAATCTCACTTTTTTTTGTTGCCTGCATCACATGAAATGTGTTTTTTTGTAAAACTGTCGGCATACTTATTAACTTTTAACCTTTAAATAAAAAAAATACAGGACGTCATGGTTAAAAATGTTTTGTTTCACTTTTTTTCAAATGGTTTTTCAACATTTTTCTAAACAAAGGTTTACACGAAAAATAGTAATAATTGTAATTTTGCCACTAGAATTTGCAAATATTTCTGTCAAAAATTCGCGCATTTATTTTACGAAAATTTTTACCTAAATAATTAAATAAAAATACAAATAGAGAATTTTAAAGAAAAATAGAGAATTTTAAAGATAAAGTGACAATACATTTTTTAATATTTGTTGCTACATTCAATAAATTATGCAAAGGATTAGAAAATTTGGATTAAATATCACGATTTTAATTACAATATTCATTACCTATATGATTTTCTTATATTGAAACTACCAAATAATAGAAAATTACATTTTTTAGTCAAAATTTCAATTATGGAAAATTCTAATCATACTTTCATTTCTTACCCGTTTTTTCCAACACAATTTAATTAAAATTACCTGTTTGAGTAGATCATGATTTCTGTATACTTTCTTGATCCATTAAATTGGGTATTTATTTAAAAATAATCCGATTTTAGAAAAAATTGTTTTTCCGTATTTTCCAAAAGTTAACTACTAAAAACTAAAACTGTGTAGCTAAGCTGTCAAACGACGATTTCTAACAGAAATGCTACTACCTTGTTAAAAATTGGTTTGTTTATTTTTTTTACAAAAAAACAAGTGATTTTTTAATTATTATGAAAGTTTTTTATAATTAGAAAAAAATCAATGTTTTTTTTCCAATACGTTTTTTTTTAAGTTTTTTTTCTTCAAAATTGTCACGTAGATGCATAATACTATTTTAATATTTTCATAGATAGAGATTTTCTTCATGAATTAGAATCTAAGTAGAATCACCACAAGATAATTATTTTTAAAACAGCCAAAGTTAACGATTTTTGTGAAAAACAAGGCGCGAATTATTTCTTAAAATAGCTCAATTTCTGATAAAGGGCCCAATCTGACACCACTGTAATACGAGAAAGGAGAAAAAATTACCTTTTTACTGGCATGTCACTATTTTTCTCGACGCTGTTCAAAAACACTCTGATGTTACAGTTGAGCACCTCGTGCAAAGCTTGCAGTATGGGCCCCAGCTTTTGAGCACCTCTGGACACTGGATCCACTATGGCAACCAGATCGAAGGCGACTTGATCGGGATTTTTCGCCGGTATCTTGATGACGGAATGCTCTGTTCCGCTGTAATTTATGTCGAAACGCGATTTGGACTGCGTTTTGGAAACGAGAAGCGAGACCATCTTCAGGAAGGTATCGCTGGTAACATCTATAAATAAAACGTATTTGGGTAACATTTATTTTCATTAGAAATGTAGGCACGTTTTAGCATTTTCAAAGTTAAAATTTTTTAAACTCAAAACAATTAATGGACAATTTTTTTTTAATATAAAATACAACTAACTGTAAAACTTTACGCTTAAAAATATTTTAGTTCAAATATTTTATTTTGGTTTAAATTTGTAAAGAGTCATTTAAATGATAGTCGATAAATTTTTAATACAAAAACTCTCACATTACCTACATTTAATTGTAAGTTTAAATTATAAAGTGGTAATAACTTTTTATTTTTAACAATTTTAAATTTATACATTTTTAACACAAAATGTATAACTTTACATTTAAATGTAAGTCGATAATTTTTAATTTACAAAGTGTAAACGTAGCTTAATTTTAAGCATGGCGCATATATGCATATAATATATTATGATAGTTGGTGAGATTGGAAATAATATTGTTTAATACAAAAGTGAACTGTTAGTACACTTTGTCTTTCAATACATGATTTAAACCTAATGTAAACCTAAAATTTTTAGCTAGGAAAATTTTAAACCAATAAAATTTTAAATTAAAAAATTATGTAATAAATGTTAAAACGGCATGCCATAGAAATAAGTACCTTCTTCCTCTTCGGCGTCTTTTTGTATAGCTTCGGTAATTTTATCAACGTAAGAGGCGGAGCTAAATCTTTCCAACAAACCGAAATCTTCGGTGCTGAAGTCCTCGTCATCGTCCAGCGGTCCCAAAACTCTTCCATTAGCAATGACAGCTCTTCGGCTGTCTTTCATGTTTAGTACGCGCGCGCAGTAGACTCGCAACATTTTCAAGTTCAGTTCTTGCGATTCGATCTTCGACGATATTTCGGACTGAATAAAATTATATTTTTATTCATTAAAAATGTTTTAATAACATCCCAGCAATTATATTATGTAATGGCCCATTACTTTTCTTCTATTGGCCCTTTTTAGGAATGTTTTAATAGAAATATTAATTTTGATAAAAGGCTGTCGTGATAAGGTCTTGCATTGGCCCTTTTCAGGCTTTCATGGCAATTTTCAGAACCAAGTTAATGGGACTTGCCAACATTTAATGTTTTCCGTATATAAAACTTACATAGACCTTTAATTATTCTTTGGTTAACGCCATATTTTAAAAATGACGCTCAGTGGAATTCCTATAGTTTTAATAGTGTGTTATACCACATAAAAAATATTAATAACCCCTAATGGTTGTTAAATTTAAATAAGTAAGTAGGTGCATTTTTAATTTTACAAATTTACAGACAAAATACCTACCGCCAAAGAATTTAGTAGAACGGTTTAATTGATAAAGTCAAACTTGGGGCAATTGCCAATAAAAGAAATTAATAATGGCAAAGAAAACCTGGGTTTCTTTGTAAAAGAGGACAATCTGCCAAAAAAATCAAGTGAACTTATTTGTAAATATATGTTTTAATTTTAAACATTTTCTATTTAGTTTAAGGATTTTTTTATTTATTTAAATATTATGCATTCCATTCCACCTAATAAACAGTTTTTAAATAAAATTTTCATGTTTTACTAATACAGGTCTTTTTTACAACACATTGCTTTGTATTTTTTCTTGTAAATTTATGAATGTTTTGGGTCGGATATTCCACGATAATCGGAAATTTTTATCCCGACCGTCAGAAATTGTATTGTAACGGTAGGGATAACAATTTTTGGTTATCGTGGAATATCTTTATCTAATAAAATATTTAATCCACCATAATAGATACTTCACTTATCCATTAAAAATTATTTAAATAACCACTATAGAATCTTTAACACCCCATATAAGAAACTTTAGCTTACCACATTTGTACCTTTAATCTGCCATATTATAACATTTAGCGCGTCATATCAAAAAATGGAATGAAATCTATTGCTTGACCATGAACTTTTAAGATGAAAGTATTTTTCACTTTAGTCAAAATTTGATGTTTTAAACCCTATTCATATCAACTGATTTAGCATATCAGTGGATTTAGGTTTTTGCACGACATGGCAACGCCATTTTATTTAAAAACTATTGTTTTATAAAATAACATTGACATTTTGAATTAGATATAGAACAATTGAGGAGCGATCAGACAAAACCAGACAAATCCATTTAAGTGATTTGCAGAATTAAGTCAAAAGCAAAAGAATTATTTTATTTTTGATTTCTTTCTGCAAATCACCAAAATGAATTTGTCTGGTTTTGTCTGATCGCTCCTCAATTAAAATTTCAGCAAGATATATTTGACATTTGTCACATTTGCTTTTAACCATACAAAATAATTTCGCTAATAATGGATAATAAGTCAGTGTAAAATGATAATTGTAATTAAAAAGCAGATAATTGAAGGAAAAAATCAAACTTTTTAACATTTTTGATAATTAAAACTGTTATTGAAATAAAATAATATAATAATAATAATAAACTTTATTGGAAATCCAAATGGCTAACGACTTTCGTCTTCCTGCCCTTGAAATAAAATAAATAATGATTTGTGTTTTAAATTTTTCATTAATTTTCTGAATAATTATTAAAAGCGTATAATAAAAAAATTACATACAGAATAAAAAATTATTGGTAAAAACGATAAAAATTAATTTTGATCAAAATTTACGAAATAAATTGTTGACGCCAATAACAATTTTTCTTTATCCAAAGGGATTATAATAAAAGTAGAATCAACAATATTTGGTAAATTCTTGAATGTAATAAACAAGAAAAAAATCAATTTCCAAAAAGTGCAAAAACTATATGTAAAATGAATGATAAAAGTATCATTTAGGCAGGGTTAAGCCGCATCGGAATTTTTTAAGCTTTTCTAGGCTATAAAGTAACAATTTAAACGATACCCAAGTGAAAACAGCCAACTTGGTAAATAACGGACACCCTAATGTACAGTTCCATTAGAGTTAGCCTTTAAAGGGCCTTTAGTTCATTAAAGGCACGCTTATAAGGGGCCATTACAGAAACTTTACGGTGGTGTTTGCTGGAATGACTTACCGGGTATGAAAGATCTTTCCCTTCTTCCAACTTTTTAACTGCATCATCATCACTAAGCAAGGTGATTACATAGTTGGTAGCTTTTTCAGGTGTTAATTCTTGCTGGGCAGCCAACACCACTTTATTTAAAAGATGCTTCTTGCCACCATCAACATTAGGTAGAAAACTAACTCTGACATCCGACTCTGTTTTCTAAAAAAAAAAACGCACAAATAACTAAACAAAAGGGGGGGAATCACCGAAAGTAACGTACCAAGTGGGTGAGTGCGTTAAGTAGCAGGCCTCTAGATTTAGGGCAATTTAAATCGCCGACAATCCAGTACGTCATCGAATGATATTTACTGCCCTTCTTTGGCATGCTAAAATACTTGACGTTAGCCATGGCGGTGGCCGTCATGTCTCTGGGACTTAGAGTTAAAAGTTCTTGCAAGTTGCTCGTGCTTGTCGCGCTACCCAACATATCCAAATGCGTGGATTTTTCCTTGTTGAGTATCCTTTCGTTCAACCTTGGCATTACATTGGGTTGATTCATGATGAAGTCCAGAATATCCTCGCCGTCGGTGAGCTTGCCGCGGTAGACGGCCTTTTGGAACGTCGGCGTTTGCGACATTATTTCTTGCAAAACAGCCTCCTCAAAGTCGTCTACGGTCAGCTGATTTCCGTTCAAAGGAATACCGTTTAGAAGTGCTTGCGGTGTGCTGCGTAGCCCGGTTCTCTGAATAAAATCGGCCGACAATTGTCTACCGTAATCGTAATCCGAATCCTCCCCGATAATATCGTCGACATCGTCGCTGAATTGTTTCTTTAACTCGCTTTTTACGTTATCGACGGTGACTTTTTTGCCATTCGCAGCGCCCATAACGGTTCTTATAAATGTTAAGGCTGCAGGGTGGCCTTTCTTCTGCCACACATAGTTGAAAGCGCATTGCATGGCTACCCCGGCATCTTTAAAGCCATCCAGGGAGGCCGAGGAGTTCACAGTAAGCACCATGCCAACTCTGATTGGAGCTGTGTGTATCACAAAAGATTCTACAAGTTTTAAAATGCCGCGGGATTCAGAATCGGTAGGATCTATTATCAGTACCTAAAATTTCATTCATTTTATATATATATATAATTTATATATTAGTGTATAATAATGCAATGCAAATTTAGGGGTTTGGTTGGTAAATACGGAACCAAAATTGGTTGCATTGATTAAAACAAACTAAACTATAGTTATAAATTTAATTAAAATGTAATTGTAGTTATGTTTAAATTATTTTAGATTACATTGAATAGTTGTCAAGTTGAATCAAGTTGAGTTGTTAAAATTCGTAGTTAAAAATCATAGATTTGTTTGTTTCTCTATGGTTAAAAATGCAATTAATTTAGTTAAATATAGGTGACTACGGCCCGATTTGAAAAGAATTTCTATAAAATAAATTAAAATTTTATGTGAACCCACGTGAATGTTGTTCAATCATTGGACTCCAATGGTGAATGGGTACTTTGTTAAAGCCACTGGACGTTAATACTTGTAGTGGCTTAATATTAATTATAATGTATATATTGTCCAGGACTATTAATGATCAGTAACTTGCAAATTGAAAAAAGAAAAAGTTTTCTGATTATTGCTTATCTTTTTCAAACCAAATGGATGCTATTTTCAAAGACAGGAAAATTAACTACTAGTGGGTGATGAAAATACTCAATTATTTTTAAAAATTCAAGGCATTTCTTACCAAATTGAATAAATTTCTTCTAACTTGTCGAATCATACCAGGAAAAGTGGGTCTCAACAATTCCATTACACTTGTACTCCACCTATTATACCTTGAATCTTTTTCAATATCATTTATCCAATTGATGGCAGAATCTCTAATATCAATGGCAAACTCCTGTGAGATGCTGGAGTCCCCTAAATCAAGACTTAATAGAGTATTAAGTCTTTTGTTGCCAATGCCTAGTTGGTGCAAGCCTTCCATAGTTCGTAATTCTTGTCTTAAAACATCCATTATGCCATAAACATCAATTAAATCTACATCATAAAACATTCCATTGATAAATAGGGCTGTATCGGATGGTTGGAGGTTCAAAGTTGAAGCAAATATGTCGGAATTCTTTTTCATTTCTTTTTTTAAGTCCTGGCTTACCACTGTTTTAACCAAACCTTTAGCCTAATAGAGGTAGTCGTTAAATAATATTTTTATTGCATTATTATATTTTGGTACTCACTTGCATAGGGAAGTTTTGGGCAATATTTGTAAATACATTTAATGCTTCCTCTTTGGGGGCCTTCATGATCCTTTCTGAAGCTTGTAAACTTAGTTCTTGGAATTGCCATACTTTTAGTGGGGCCAGTTCATTGGAGGATTCTTCAAGGAATAGTTTAAATTTGTCAAGTTCTGCTTTAACATCTGGAAAACGTTTTCTACAAAAAGTATTATATTTGTATTCAAAAATATTGTTAGAGATAAATAGAAAGATAAGGTGACCAACTTTCTAAAATGAAAAACCAGGACACAACATGCCCCTCCTCATCCAAAAAATAAACAAAATTTATTTTATTTAATGTTTATTATTTAAAAAAATAATAATAATAAAGACAATAATAAAAAAATTATTCTGAATGTACTCCCAAAAATTCAGATTTTTAAATTAATTTTTAACCTAAGCTCTGAGAACTTTTAATAAAAAAAATTAGAACAAATCATAAAAAAGTGGGAAAAACTCATAATTTTTTAATTTTTTTAACACGTTTTTTTCTTCCTTTTTTACTATCCTGAACGTACTTCAAAAATTCAGATTTTTAAATTAATTTTTAACCCTGACGACTTTTAAAAAAAAATTGCTAATGACATCAATATTAAAAAAATTAGTTTAAACCAGGACCAAATCTGCAAAACCAGGACAAAACCAATACACAATTAAAACCAGGACACATTAGCAAAAACCAGAACCTGTCCTGGGTAAACCAGGACGGTTGGTCACCTTATACACATATGTATAGAAATTATGTCACCAATAAAAAATATAAATAAAGTGGTGTACAAATAATTACTTGAGTTTTCCAAAATCAAATCCTTCAATTTCAATATCTTCTTCTTCCTGTGAGGATTCTTCAGAGTTTGTTTTTTCATGAACTTGTGTGTCATCTTGCGATTTATATTCAGTTGATTTCATTTGTAATTCAACTCCAAAACCTGACAACCTTTGGTGGGTTCCTGATGATTCCTAATTAAAAAGATGTATTTACAAGTAAAATGTTTTTTTAAATTATTACTAACCCTGATATAATGGCGAATTACATAACCAATCAAACCTTGTTGTGTAAGAATTTTGAGTTTTTGATGGAATTTGGTAAATGATTTTGTGCCTAGTTCGCCATATAAGACAGCAACAACTGTTCTATTTTCTGAACCAGGGAAATAAGTGTCTACTTTATACAATTCCACACCTTTTTCCTTTTTATCTAAAGACTAAGTTAAAAAATTAGCTTTATTAAATAATAATATTACCCAAACATACTTTTTTAACTATTTTTTCAATTTCACCAACATCACAGGTCAATTCTCCGGCAATATCCACGACGGTCTCGCAATTTGGTAAGTTTCTTTGAACAGCCATTTGCCCAAACATTTGAACCTTTGGAGCATAAATATGCAACGATAATCCTAACTTTAATACTGATAATTGTGACTCGGTTATTAACTTAGATGCCTCTTGTATTATCACATTATATTTCTCTCTATCGTTTTCTAGAAAATACACACGTAAATTTTGTCAAAATAATGATTTATGGATTGCATACCAATATTTTGTAAGGGTGTTTTTAAGTTGCTTATAGAGTCAATGAATCTCCAATAAAAGTCTATATTTTCATCGGCCAAGTATTCTACGGTTTCTAAAACTAAAGGGGTTGTTTCCCATTTTGCTTCAAGCAGTGTAGTTACTGATTTTGATTTTTTTGACTTGGCTGCTACATTGTAAGTGAAGTGCGAGCAGAATATCACGCTTAGCGTTATTATTAAAATCTTCATTCTAAAAGAAAACAGTTTTTACAACATTAATTTATTAAAATTGTTAAAACAACTTTAACATAACCTATAAATTTAGCCGCATAAAATTGATAATATAACTTACATTACAATTCAACTATTTAAAACTTGTATTTAAGGTACATCAACAACGTTAAGTAAAGAAAGCGGCGGTTTTTACTTAATTAGGGATAAAAATATCATTTTTATAAAATTTACAGACAATAAACTAAAGAACTGTCAAAGTTGACGAATCAGAACGTCAGAAAGTCGGCCAATGGAAAGCGGCCAACTCTCTGGCTACGCAGTTGGCATTGGATGAATTTAAAAACTATCATTTGAATATTTAAAATATCCATTAGGTATATAATATATATTATTATGTAATGCATAATATGCATACCATATTATAGTATTTTACCATTTTTATAGTACATTTACTATTATTAATGAAACACTGCGTTACGTTTTTTTAAATATTTAAATTACACAGGTATTGAATGAATATTATATAATAGGAATATTATATAATATTCCTATAAGATCATGAAAAAAATAAAAGTCTATATACCTACTCAGGTAAATGTATTTGTTTATTTGTAAAAATAAAAATATAGAAGGTACACATTTCTATAACTATTAACATAAATTTGGGTCTATAGTAGGTATTAAACTACTCAAACTTAATTTAAAACACTGTTTAAACTTCGCATGACCCTTTCGCTGTAATATTGACAGTTCCTCTTACATCTGTTACTTGATTTTGATCCGTATCACCCATCTAAAAAATATAGTATATAATAATATAAAATAACATACATTTAAAACATATGTTTCAATAGTAATGAAATAATTTATATTTATTTACTTCGTTATCCTGTTTTCTGCTGTGCTCGTAATACTGAACTTTTTCCTCGGTATAGAGCCTATGATTCGAGTCGACCCTGGAGAAAAGCAGGGGCGTGCTTTCCGACTCCGACGAAGAAACGCTCCTGGAACTTTTCCAGGATCCGCTTATGCCGCTATCCGAGGTGGCATCCGAGTCTGCGCAGTAAGTACTTTGGCATAGGAAGAAAATAAACGTGATGACGCCCTGAAAATGATAAAAAATTTAGCTCGGTGATTAAGAACTTAGAGCATATAGTACGTGGAGTCATAGAGTGCTAAGTATTAGAATTCTGTAGATAAGATAAGAACATTGATAAAAGAAGGAGGTCGAGGTCATTAAAGAATGAAAATTTACCTACCAAAACTAGTGTCATTGAAGCCATAACAGTGGCGGCAATGGGGAAGCCGTAATACTGTAAAAGAAATCCTCCCAAAGATGGACCAATCACTTCTCCTAATGAGTACATGCAGGACCATATGCCAGCGACTACGCTGCAAGTAGCCAACGAGTCGCCACATCCTCCCCGACTAAAAAATAATGATAATAATTAATTTTATCTACTCCTACATTGACGATCATTTGACTTTATGGCGCTTTAGTCACGGGCTAAAGTTAGAAACAGTGGCTTTTAAGTCGCGGGCTGAAGTTAGCTCTTTTATAAATTGGGAAAAAGTGAGGTTAAATTCGGGTAACAGTTGACAGATGACAAATTTTTATTTTATTAAACACTCGCTCACAAGCTTCTTAATTAAAGTCGTACCTATAATGGCGTTTATAAAACTTGATACATAATATACTAATAACTGGATTTCCTATTTTAACCACATTAAATTAATACATGGCAGCATTTTTTGCAAATTGTATTAGGTACCTACTTCAAAAATGAAATTAGGAAGAAGAACAATCTCTGATTGAACTTAAGTTTCATTCACTAACATGATGATGTTAGTGAAGGCTTATATCAAATAAAGTTGTTTATTATTATTATTAATTTAAAACAAACGTCATATCTTTTAAATTGTTAGTTTTTTATTGAAAATAATATTTTTGAAATAAGTACAATACCTACCTTATTTCAAATAAATTTTTTGACCAAAAATGCGTTTATATCAAAATATTCAAAAATGTATGTAATTTTCCAATTTTAGGTAGGTACCTACCTAATTGTTTTTTTCCTCGATCTTAAGAATTTTTTGATTCGGAATATCCAAAATAGTATATTGTTATACGAAAGATAATGCGCATAATCTCGAGTGTAATACAATACTTTATATACTCCAATAAGTAGATAATTAAACCATTTTTAAAAATAAATAAATAAAATCTGAAATATGTCAAATGGTTAACTTTACTTTTTAACAATTTTAAATGTTATTATAGTCGCCTTCTTCCAATTTAAAACCCTATTGGTTCAAATCACAGTGATTATTGAAATCAGCCAATCACTGATGCCTAACAACGTGAATATAGTAACGGGAATAATGAACTCATTATAATGAGTTCATTATTCCCGTTACTACGCAGGGAATTTATAATGTTTATTATTATTCACGGAAAAAAACCAATGTTATACAATAGAAGTATTTAAATTATATTTATCTTCTAAATTTAGCTATTTTATACATTTACTGTTAAATTTAAAAATAGTAAACCGAATTTAAATTCAATTTAAAAAAAACATTGATTGATACATTTTAGGATTTCATTTAAAATGTCAAAAAGAAAAATATAAAAAAAACAAAATACCTACGGTTACAAAACATTTTCCTGGCATTCTGTACAGAAATTATAGTAAGTAGTGTATAAAAATTAATCCCGGCGCATCCACCAAATATGAAAGTCTCATTTATTAATTAATTAATTTTAAATGCAGGGTGTGACAAGAGTTTCAAATAATGGCTTAAACTTTGTTATTTGCAAATTAAAAAAAAGTTCAATATAAAAGTTCCAATCATGTTTTGGGTTTTCTAGTTTGTTGATATCTTTTTTTATTTTGTTTCTATGGCAACCAATTATTTGTTTTTAATGGCACACCTACTTTTTTTTGTTTATTATAAAAAAGCATATTACTTATTTACCCCAATAAGTAGATAATCAAAGGGTAAAAGAACAAACTTTGACATACTAAAAGATGAACTTTATCGAATAAAAATTAAATCGGCCGAAAGCCCGTTTAATTTTTGTCTGGCATTTAAAAAAGTATTGCAGTTTTTTTGTATTTAGCTTACCTTTGTCACTCTTTAAATATTTAATTTTATATAAATTTTTAATCAATTATTTGTGATTGATAATTAATCAATTATTTGTGATTGAGCCTTAATAAATATTTTTCTTTGCTTATTTCTTTTTTCAAGAATTGCTAAATTTTATGACAAAAAAATGTTGCCATAGAAACAAAATAAAAAATATACATTTGTATATTAACACACTAAAAACTCAAAACATGCTTTTTCAACTTTGCAAATAACAAAATCAAAGCCATTATTTAATACTTTTTCTGTATTAATATACAGGTGCACCAAGTATCCTTATTTGTATTGGAAATTAGAGAAAAATTAAGTAATTACGATTTTTGGTTTTGACAGGTTTTTAGTTTTTTTTTCAGATATTTTGAGAACAACTGTTTTTTTCAATTTTTATTTTATAGGCTTATAATAACGCAACTTTTAACCGACTTTGCAGCTCCTTAAATAAAAAATACTATTAATAAGTACATATGTATACACATAGGATATTTGGTGCACCCTGTATATTTTTTTATTGTTTTTTTGAAAAAAAATAAACATAAACATTAATATAATAAAAGGTAAATTATATAAAATTTTAGTTTATTTAAATTTTTTACTTTTGTTCTATTTGTATCTTTCTTTCTTAAGCATTTTTATATTTTTGCTAATTTTTCGTGTTTTTGCCCTTTTATATAATTTCAAATCTTTTATTTATTGGATTTTTATCCCTCAATAAGAGTTCGTTAAAAACTTGATATGGTTGTATTTTAAAACTGCCATAAACTTACATGGCACTGGACAAAACTCCTTGAAATGTCGGTAATAGAGCCAACGCAACTGAGATTCCCAAAATTGAAAGGGCTACCAAATCCAGCCACAAGGAACTAAAAAATAACCATTAAAAACCAATTAAATAATAACTCACATTTCTTACGTTTCCAAGAAGGGTAGGAAAGGACAAGGCCCCAATAAAAGCAATCCAAAAGTGCACATAAACAACCCGACTACCATCATAGACCAATGGTTGTCTATTTTATCAGCCAACCACCCCCATGCTGGACTGGAAATACCGTAGAGTCCGGAAAATAACAGGAATATTAAACCGATTTTTTCGGCACTCAAGTCGAACTGTCTCAAGTGCGGCTCCAAAGTTGGATCTAGGAAAGCCCAGGTGCTAGAGACCACCACAACAACTAACCCTGTGACCACGATCGCTGGTACTTTCATCAAAGTAAAGATAGAAGCAGATTTGCTAGACATATTGCACTCTGAAAATACAAATTTATGTTAACCTGGTTGTCCACCTTCCTACTTCAATCTAAGGTTTCAACTCTTACCTTGAACCTTAGGCAATAAATAAATATTTAAAGGAATGACGAGTATCATTGCAACACCAAGTACGAAAAATGGCATGCTGAAGCCACCCAACTACCTAGAAAAAATAAATATATAGTTTTTTGTCAGTTCAGAAACATCAAATATAGAAAGATTCATACCGAGTATAGCATGCCTCCTAAGGCCGGCCCTGTGCTCATTCCTAAACCCACAAAGGTTTCCAAAATGCCCTAAAATAAATTTTTATGTTTTAATTTTAACAGCATTAAAAGGTTTTTAGTAGTACTTACAATAACTGATCCAATGTTGTTGGGAAAACTATTCACAACAAACACGTAGCTAGCCGTGGAAAAAGCGCTAGCACCCAGTGCTTCAAATCCTCTAATAACTATGCAAAAAGTGGTAAATAACGTATAATCTTGTATATATTCTAACAACCCAAATAGTATATTACAAACCCCTGCCATAAACATTCCTGACAGGAACATAAACTTTGCACCAACCCTTGGAAGCTACAAAAATGTGTCTTTAAACCTGCAAAAATATGTCTTTAAAACGCAACTTACGATTTTTCCGAAAATTGGCGATGTAAGGAACATGACTAGAGCGAAAAAACTGAACACAAATCCGGATAATGTGTCGGACAGGCCCTTTTCGGCAGCTTCCCTCGGAAAGAAGGGAGCCATAATGGACATCGAACAAAAACTCATGAAATCAACCAAAGCTAGCAGGGCTAGAGTCAGTTTTTGTCGTCTGGTGAAGTTCTTGATGGCGGATGT